GAAACTCTCGGGGTACAGAGACGTGTATGTCGGAAGGCCTAGAGCTGGGGGAGCGTGGGTTTCTAGAGCGGGACAGAGTGGGTCTACCAAGTGTGGGATCTGGGTTGGGGATAGGCAGGGGTTGAGGAGTGGAGAAACAGTAGAGTACACAAAAGATATTGACCTTGGACACAAGGGCAGGGCACTGGGAAGTCACAGATCTGACCAGGTGACGAGCCATCTGACTCCCCCGTCAGCTCAGAATGGCTGATGTTGAGGAAGACTGCCGGGGTACATTACTACTCCATGTCTTGTTTTTCTCATGCCTTCTCAACCAGGTTTGATACCGCATGAGGGCAGGTGCTGTGTTTTGTCCCCTATGTCACATATGTAACACAGGGCCTTGCAACACCAATAGGTAACTGGAGAAAGCAACCCAGAGTATGTTCCTCTCTAACATGGGAAGGCTGTAGCTGGTCTGGAGGGGAAAAGAACTCACATCTCCAGGCATTATCGTCAGACAGGATGCAGTGAGTTCTAGAATGACACTTCTCCATCTAGCTGGGTTTTTAAATACCAAAACAACAACAAAACCCCACACAAACAAGCACAGCCTTCCTAAAGAATTAGTCATTAGCCACAGGTTCCTACAAAAAGTGACTTAAGCTAAAATAAATCTGGCATGAAGTCACGTGCTTATCCGGCCCCATGATATATCACGATGAACAATCATTTTATTGGTAACGGCAAGCAGGGTGATAATATGGGTTCCAGTCTTGTTTTGAAAATGAAGACCCAAACCATGGCTTGAGTTATGCTTTCTATTACCATGTGTTGACTTCTGCCGGAGAAGAGTACCATTTCTTTAGTAATCATTGTCCTTTCCTTGAAATGGACTTAAAATTAAGATGTAATGGAAGGATTAAGTTAATGTTAGGAACAACCTGGTAGCAGTGTAACCATCAGGGGAGCATAAACATCTCTCTGCACCATTGCCCAATGGGGAGATCAAGTCAGGTTCTTTGCACACGATATTTCCAATCTTTCCACGGTAGGTGGTTTTAATGTTACAGCTGAGAGATGGAAGCCATGGCAGGTTATATAAGGTGTCCATGGTGGTGGTTAGTAAGCGCTGAGCCAAAATTAAAACCCAAATCAGTTCAGCTTTGAAGCCCATGTTATGCTACGTTTTTAGCAACTTAACATTTTTCACAGAAATTCATACCATTGAACGCTCCAATGCTCCTTGCCTTTAAGGGCCACTGATTTAGTAGTCGGGGTTTTTTGTTTTGTTTTAAAAATTTTTTTATGCCTAAGCTTTTATGCCTTATTCTAATGCTTTCTTGCTTTTTTACTCAAACAGTATTGAGCTAGTGGGAGCTCTCTCTAAGGACCCCACGGAAGCGCTCAAATACGTACCCCCACGTGAAAAGTCAACAAGAATATGATCCTTGCTTCCCAAATGAAGTGGGGATATACATATATTTTAAAAGTGATAAAAAATGTTCAAAGAAAATGTGTTCTTTGATTTGGGAGCAAGACACCAGATGATGAAGCCCGTGTCCCCCTCTGGGGCTAGACTTCCTGGGTTTGAACACCAGCTCCACCATCTATGGGACTTTGGCTATGTTAGCTAACCTCTCTAGGCCTCAGTTTCTTAATCTCAAAAGGGGGGATGATAATAGTATCTATAGAGTGGCTGTGAAGATTGAACTGGCTGAAATATTAAAGCATTTAGGATGGTGCCTGGTAAGCTTACAAGCATTTGTCAGTTACTAGTATTAGAGGCAGAAGGCGTGCAGTATGACACGGTTGTTGTGTTTAGGGGCCATCCAGTCAGTTCGGACTCATAGGGATCCGATGTACAACGGAGTGAACACTGCCCGGTCTTGTGCCATCCTCCTTCCTGAGTCCGTTGTTGCAGCTACTGTGCCAATTCATCTTGGCAGCAAGGGTCTTCCGATTTCTCACTGCCCCTCTTTCCCAGCATGCTGTCTTTCTCCAGGGTCTGGTCTCTCCTGATAACATGTCCAAAGTATGTGAGACAAAGTCTCCCACGTTTGCCTCTAAAGAGAATTCTGGCATTACTTCTTCCAAGGCAGATTTTGTTGTTGTTGTTCTTTTGGCAGTCCATGGCTCTTTCGATATTCTTTGCCAGCACCATAGTTCAAGCACATTGACTTTCCAGTCTTCCTTATTCCATGCCTAGATTGCACATGGATATCAGGCAATTGAAAACACAATGGCTTGCGGCAGGTGCACCTTAGCCCTCAAAGTAACCTCTTTGCTTTTCATTAGTCTAAAGAGGTCTTGTGCAGCAGATTTACCCAAATGAGGGGCATCATTTGACCTCTTGATCGGTGCTTCCAGGAGCACTGATTGTGGATCCAAGCAAGATGAAATCCTTGACTTCAATCTTTTCTCCATTTACTGCGATGTTACCTATTATTCCGGTTGTGAGGATATGGGGCTTCTTGGCATTGGATTGTCATCCATCCTGAAGGTTGCAATCCTTGATTTTCATCAGCAAGTGTTTTAAGTCCTCCTCACTTTCAGCCATCAAAGTAGTGCCATCTGCATACTGAAGGTTGTTAATGAGCTTTCCCCCAATCTGGATACCGCTTTCTTCTTCATGTAATTCAGTTTCTGGGATTATTTACTCCACATACAGATGAAGCATGATGAGATGCGACAACCCTGATGCGCACCTTTCCTGATTTTAAACCATGAAGTGTTTCCTTGTTCCATTGGCACAACTGCCTCTTGATCCATGTGCAGGTTCAGCATGAGCACAATGAAGTGTTCTGGAATTCCCATTCTTCTCAAGGCTACCCATCGTTTGTTATGATCCACAGTCAAATGTCTTTGAAAAGTCAATAAAACACAAGTGAACAGCTTCCTGGTATTTCTGCTTCAGCCAAGATCCATCTGACACCAGCAATGATATCCCTTGTTCCACATCCTCTTCTGAATCTGGCCTGAAACGCTGGCAGTTCCCTGTACTGCTGTAACCACTGTCGGATGGTCTTCAGCAACATTTTATTTGCATATTATATAAAGGATATTGTTTTATAATTTGAGCATTCTGTTAGGTCATCTTTCTTTGGAATGGGTCCAAATCTGGCTCTCTTCCCATCAGTTGGCCAAGTAGCTGTCTTCCGAGCTTTCTGGCATCCAGAAGTGAGTGCCTCCAGTGCTTGATCAGCTTGTTGAAATACTTCAGTTGGTAGTCCACCGATTCCTGGAGCCTTGTTTTTGGCTAACGCTTTCATCACAGCTTGTGCTTCTTCCTTCAGTACCGTTCTTCTTGCTCCTATGCTACTTCCTGAAATGGAACAAAGTAGTTCCTATGGGAACAAAAAAGCCCATAATGCAAAGTTTCTCAACCTTGGCACAGTTGACATTTTGGGCTGGGTAATTCTATGTTGTGCTGTGCATTGTAAGATGTATAGCAACATCCCGGCCTTTACCTATTTCATGACAATGGAATCTTCCCAACACATGATAGCCAACAACATCTCCAGATATTGACAACTGTTCTCAGGAGCAGAAGCACCCCTGGCTAAAACACACTGCCTTAAAAAATCAGATTGACATACTTTCCTACATCCAAAAAAAAAAAAAAATCTCTTTTCAGTGTGGTGCTATAAAGTTACAAGGCAAACAGCATGACTGATGAAAATGTTTATGGCATATTAAAAAGTACTTTTAGTATAAAAAGAGTCCCTTCCCAGATATCAATGAGAGTGAAGACCACAATAAAAAGGGCAAAAAAATAAGTAGGTTGCAGAATGATCTGTACAGAATCATGTTGCTTTTCTATAATTGTAACATAAAGCACTTTTGTTTTGCATTTCGTGGTATCTGTGGTATTAATACAAAGAAAAGGGCTGGAAAGTCTAATGCTTCTAATTATGCTTAAAAGCCTCACAAGAAATGCAACGTGGGATCCCGAACTGGATCCTAGAACAGAAAGGAGACATCAGAGGATTGGTGAACTGTGCATAATGGCTGGAGGTCAGCTCATCGTAAGGCACTATGCTTGGGAGTCTATGCTTGGTAGAGTAGAAAGGCAGAAGAGCAGAAACGCCATGACGAGATGGACGGAAACAGTGCTGGAAACAAGGGCTCAGGCGTAAGGTTCAAGGGAGGGGCCAGACCAGCGTGGTTTCCTCCAGTTGCACAGGCCGCTCTGAGTCGGAACTGACTTGACAGCGCCCAACCACATAGTCAAGTTTCGTGGGAACACGTGGGGAAACTGGGTGAAGGGTATACAGGAACGCTAAAGTATAGTTGTAGCTTTTCTCTAAACCTAACACTTCAAAAAGTACATTTGAAAAATTAAAAGACCCACAGATGGCTGGGTTTCTCTCCAGGGAGTCTGGGGATCAGCCTTGCCATATCACTGTGCCCTACCCTAAGATAGAGGAGAACTGGTGACACGTGCTCGCCTCTCCTCGGGCATGATGTTTCCCCGAAGATGCTGCTCAGCCAAGCGCCCTTCGTTGCTCATATCAGAGAGTCTGGCTCCTGAGTCTGTGTCTCAATCACTACGCCAAACTGCCTCTGCTGTGCTGAGGTCAAATTTCTCCTTTGCAAATGCCACAGGATGGCCTGAGCATGGCGTCAGCTGCCTGTGATGCTCGAAGAGATGGTTAAGTACCGTTAGAAATGGCATCATAGACAGTGATGGCATGCATAACCTTGCCTCCCATGGGAAAACCGAAGTCAGTGGGTGTTTTTCCATGTTAATAAAGACAACATTGCTTTAATTCTACAACCAGCTGCAGACTGCGTCCTAGAAGGGTGTGCTGGGAAACAGCATCTCTTTACATACCGGTTCCACCGTTTTGTTAACTTGTTTCTGAATTTCCAAGAGCATCGCCACACCCTGTAAGCAGAAAAGCCATGAGCTTCCACAGTTGCAGTCTAGCCATTTCCAACGTAAGAATGTACACCACACGGCTGTTCTAACTCCAAATGTCTGCCGGGTCCCTGGTCCGCGGACAACATAGTGTACAAAATCAGAAATGTGCACGACTCTCTTGAGCCCCTCAGCCCCCTACCCCTCCTTTCATGCAGTTGATGGTGAATGAGAGGCTCTTCTTCCTCGGGAAACTTTCTTCATTGTTTGGGATGGATTAAGTTGGTTGGTTGGGGCAAGTTAACTTCATTCTCTTTCATGGTCCCTTGGCCAACCTAGCACAGCTTGTAGTGCATGTCACAAAGTGTCTGGAGTGGGTCAGCATAAATCTATGACCACTGAAGAAGTTTCAAAGTGTGTTCTGATAAAGGTGAGGTCGGCCCACTAGGAATGCTCAATGCTCTGGTACCCAAACAGCACAACTGATATTCACCAAAGGGACAAGCCAGGCCCCAGAGGTGTTCCTCGACAGGAGATTGCTAGGACAGTGCCAGCGTCCACTGGCCGCTGCCATCGTGCACTGTGCCAGAGTGCCTAGGCCAGTAGATAAAAACACCCTCGCGCCCCCCAGATAACCACCTCCAGCATGAGCAAGGCCTCCAGAGTGACTCGCCCGTGTCTTCTCCATGAATCGCCAGCATGAGCAATTGCTAGATTCGAGTCAGAGGTCCTTGCTAAATGTGCTTTGCTTTCCTGGAAGTCTTGACTCCCTTCCCACATCTCTGGGCCCCTAAGATGTTTTTCTCACTTTCTATTTCATTCCCCCTCCCTTGCTATTATAAGCCTTAGGAACCTCAACTGAAAACTTCACTGATACCAGAGAAGATATATGTATAATTGATTGACTGATAAAAAGAGCAGTTTGAGATCACATCACGTACTTGCTTGGCACTTAATCCAGGATGAGGGATACAAATCACTTCTTTCATTAAATTCAACTTCCCAGGAGAGGACTTCCCACAGCTGACCAGAGAAACCATCAGCCAGGGCACAGTGAGTTTTTCTAGCGGTTCCTGAAATACAGGAAGAGCAAAAGGGATGCAGGCACCAATGGTTTCTAATCATGGAGTTCTAGTAACAGGTACTGACCTGGTTGTGCTTCAGGGCTGCGATAGTGACGTAGAGAGGAGTGCTGCTCAGGATGGCACTGGTTTTAGCAACAGCCAGGGACACAGCCCCGATGGCCATGCTGCCATGGAGAACAGGTTCAGCAGGTTCCTCGGGTGGGATTGGTTTCTCGAGAATTGTATCCTTCCTTCCTGGGGGAAAGCATGTCGGCAAACACTGGCATTAGGAAGGTTTGATCACGATTAAACTAGTTAAATTGTTTATTTAATAAGTTTCATTAATTTAATAATTTTTTGAACATAATTAAACTATAGTTTTTCATGCCTAATTGCAGATGTTACAGCCCCGCAAAAAAGTAAGGATGAAAACTGAGGTTAAGAAGGACATACGCTACCCCAACCTCCAACTGTTCCTTTTGATTTCACGTACTGTTCCCTACTGCTCAAAGAATCCTTAGCGATGGGTTTTCCCTCTCTACGAAACCCTAGGCCATTCAATAATAACCCCTTCAGCCATCCTGTGGAGTAGATGTTGTTATCCCGCATTCCCATATAACTAAATGAGGGATTAGAGTGGCTAGGAAACTTGCCCGTTGTCTAACAGAAAGTGTATGGAGACAGAATTTGAACCCCATTCACATGCCACATCCTTTGTTTTGCTCTATTCCACCGCAGCGGCCATGTGTACAACTTGTGGTTGAACTTCTCATCATGAGTAGTAAGCTGCTCCCAACCACAAACCAATGCCTCGGTTCCTGCCATTGAGGACTTCAGAAATGCCTCCCAGACCCAACCATTCACCCCAAATCCTTCCCCATGTTTCACTTTCATTTGTTCTCAGCTATCCTGTCTGAACAGGCACCACCGAGTCCATCATGGGCTTTCTATGGCCCCCAATCCTCCTTCTCCCTAGTTACTGCTTTGGCAGTTTTTCATGCCTAATTACAGATATGTAAGCACCTAGTGGAGGTAAGATATGTAAGCACCTAGCACATACTTAGTGTTAAAGGACCATCCCCTCTTGCTTCTTCCCTTTCCTTAAGTTCCAGTCCTATCAGAAAGCACGGAACAGCTTCCAGAACATCCATTGGCGGCCAGTACCTATTGCTCAGTAGTTGCCACCCCTTCTCACCCAGGAAAAGATTAGTCCAGCAGAATGCTTTTGCCTTGGTCAATTCTCTTCCCCAGTCTAGAACTGGGAATCAACTTGAGGGTCGTGGGTCTGGATCTCAGCATCTATTTACAGGACACAAGAGCTTGTCCCCATAATACTTTGGTCACTGGTTCTGCTGCTGTCCTATTCCCTGGAGCCCATAGAATTTATTTACTTGGTGGCTAGTTTGTGCCTGGCACTGTGCTAGATAGACCCTAGCAAAGTCAAGGGGACCACGGCATGATCCATGCCCTCAAGGAGCATTTTCTAGTTGCAGATAAACCCTATTAGAATACTAGTAGCAGCCTCACAATGGACATACTGATTGGAAGGGGTAGAAAAAAGGATGCCAATTACTGAGATAATTTGCTTTAGAATAGCATCATTTTCCAATAAAAATAATATCAATAGGAAGTGAAAGAAGGTTGGTTGTCCATATCAAAGGATATCACTCTATTAAAATATGGAGTGGCTTTTTGACGAGTTAATGGAAATTTGGGGGTGGGGAGCTGTTTGAAAGTCTCCCGTGCCACACCTGACATTGCCACTCTTCAATTCAAGGTGTTCACCTCTAAGTGAGTGTGTTCATGCGGATAGACTAGCAAAACATATTTATGGACACTCATGTGTAAAAAAACAGAGCTTTAGATACAAGAGCAATTGAATATTGAGAAAATATCCCAGTCCAGTCCAGATCAAGTCCATAAGTCTGATATTAGCCATATGTCCAATACCAATCTATAAATTCCTCTTCAGACTCATGCGACATATGCAATGATGCTAAATGCAGGACGATCACAGGCCCGTGAGTGGAAAGTCTTGTGGATCCAGTGCGGGTACAAGCATCTCAGCACTGGGAGAGGTCTCCACGTGGCTTCTCCAGCTCTGAGGCTCTGGCTGCCATCAGCCTGTCTCCATGTGTCTTGTGAGCTGCAATGTCTCCCAGGGAGTGAGCCTTATCAGTAGAGAGTCTCTAAGGGAGTGAGCAAGTGTCCCGCCTCCAGTGAGCTATTTTTTTCCTTAGTGCCTCCAAATGAGGTCATCAAGCTTGGATCTGATTGACAGGCTAAACTCTACCCTTTCAATCTTAAGCCTCAAATTGGCAATAGCTTATGTAACTGCCACAGTGAAAAATATTTTTATCTAACAAATAAAAATGGAGAGTAGAATGACGCAAAATGCTGCCCACCCAACACAGCTGCTTCCAATGAGGAAGTAGCACGGAGGAGAGACGGCTCCAGGCTGGGAATGTAACCAGGGTCTGCCCGAAGAGGTTCTGACTCGGGAAGGCAGGCCAAGCATCTGCCTTTCTTCCTTAGACCAAAAGGAGAAGCCACTAACCTTGCTTTTGTCCTTTCTTTTTGGCAGGAGGTGGAGGAGGTGGTGGAGGTACTGGGAATAAAGGTGCAGGCACTGAGTCATCCACCAAAATTTCCAATGCTTTTGTCTCCTGATCTTCTTGCACTTTGCTTGCAAAGAATGCCCTTAAAGGCAGGAAAGTGTGACTTTATAAGGGATAACCACAAAATCCAAACTTAACCGCCACGGAGTTGATGCCGACTCACAGGGACCCTTTAGGGCAGGGTAGAACTGCCTGTGAGTTTCTGAGACTGTGACTCTCTGGGAGCAGAGAGCCGCATCTTAAGAACAATTCAGCTTTGATTCCCAAGACAAAAATAAATAAATAAATAACAATGCTCTTGTGAAACTGTGTTCAAGAACTGAAATGCATTTGATGCTTTCAAGTACTCATTAAAAAAAATTATTTATTTGAGCCCTCTTTGCGATGTTAAGGAAAAGTTAAAGATACTTTAAAATTAAAAGCTTTTAAAATTAAAAGCCACTGGACTACTGGATTGTTAAAAAAGAAAAAAACGGTCACCACAAGACAAATGAGTCCAGAGCAGACAGTGGATATAGTATTACATGTCCTTCGTGACTGTCCAGGGCCAGTGCTGAAATGGACAATGTTTAGCTACAGATCAGAGGAGGTGGGATTGCGAGGACCTGGAAAACGGAGACCCAGGAGGAAGGGAAGTCTTGATGGTATCTCGGTAGTTGTCCAAGAGAGGAGGCAGTCTGGATGGGACGTGCACAGGGGTGAAACTCCAAGAGAAGAAAGGGAATGTAGTAGAATTGTTGACTGGCTTGACTGGGGAACTTGGAAAAAGAAAAACCAAACCCCCCTAAAGATGGGATCATGGCAAGGGTGGGCAAAAAGAAATTTAAAAAAAGAATAGCTTTTAGGAACTTCAAGATCAACCCAAACTCCAAAAATTCCTCTACAGTAGTTATGCTCCAACTTGGAAGCAAATGAGAATGTATTGTGCACAACTGGGCATGTGCTTGGTGCCACTTAAGCAAAGGGAGTCCCTTGGTCTTCCTTTAAGGGATATGGCATGAGACTGGCACCAAAGGAGACATCATGCTAACACTTTGCTTGCATGGGCCTTGAGCAACCCTTACACAGCCCTAGTAATCAAAATACTTGATTAGTGGTCAAATGAGAGAGGCCATCTTTGGGCCAAGCCTGGAAGACTGAGTTGTGGCTGAGGCTAGACTGCCAGGGTGCGCAGTGGTGACTATGTGAAATGATGTGAGACACGGGAAAGCAGGGCACGATGGGAATATACATCATTTAGGGCAGCGGTTCTCAACCTGTGGGTCACGACCCCTTGGGGGGGTGTCAAACAACCCTTTCACAGGGGTTGTCTGATTCATAACAGTAGCAAAATTCCAGTTATGAAGCAGCAACGAAAATAGTTTGATGATTGGGGGAACACCACAACATGAGGAAGTGTATGAAAGGGTCATGGCATTAGGAAGGTTGAGAACCGCTGATCCAGGGCATAGGTTCCCAAACTTATTTGGCCTACTGCCCCCTTCTCAGAAAACAAAACAAAAATGTAGTGCCTCCCTGGCCATTAACTTTTGTACTACAGCCTATAATCCAAGATAAAGTGTAGGCATCTGCTTGTGTAGCCTCCCTGGATTATACCAGTGTCCCCTGTGGGAAGCATCACCCACCCACTTTGGGAAACACTGACTAGCATGACCCTTTTCCTGAGAATGGATTCTTAACATGGTTCTTTTCCTGAGAATGGATATGCTGGATTCTAAGAAAGCCCTCTGCATGGAAATAGGCTGAAATGGAGCTTTACACAGCAAGATTTTCATAACTGGGGTTTCAGACGAGAGAATTATGCTAAATCTGGGGCATCTCAAATTGACTTCACAACTCTCTGCTACAGGTACCACAGTCCCAACATATCTTCAGGTGAAATGAGAAGGAAATAAATGGATATCTATTTAGACTTCGTGTTTTTGTGTCAAAGCGGAAGAGTTACCTGAGCAAGTGGTCCACCTCAGCCTGGTTGGAAGGCTCGAGGCCCTGAAGCTCCATGGTGATGGCTCCGTTGACCCACTGCATGGCAGTGCTGACGGCATCCTTCCGTTCCAGTTCCTCCACTTCCACTAGCTCAGGGGAGGCGTTTTCCCGTATTTCAAAGTGAGACGCGATCACCACAGAACATATGTGCTGAAAACAGTGTGTGTCTGCATTGGCCCTAGCGCTCCCAGAAAACAGGACACTGAGCTAACCCCCGCTTCTTACTGTAGATGATAAGGTACCACCCGTTTCAAGGTAAAAAGTGAGAATATGTCATTTTCTTTGAGATTTTTCTATAGCTGTTGAAATATGGCGGGACCCAGCTTGAAGGGACATTTAAAGTTATTATCTCACTAAAGTACCCTTATAAAAACTCTATGTTGAAGTTCATTTTTTTTATCATGACCTCGTCAGTAAAGAGTTAAAAGAATACTAACAGACTGAATCATCATTCTCCTCCAAGAGACTGTAGCAAGGTTATTTCGAATAACATATATTCATATTAACCACAGAAATTACTGTCAGTAATAAAACCTAGTGAATGTGATGATTCATGTAGATAGACCTACATGTCTACTCATAGATGCTTGTGTATGTACTCAAGGGTAAGTCAAAAATTGCTACTGGATTCCTCTTCATATATGCACGGGTTTATTTCAAATAAAACTTGTTCAATGAATGGCTGTAGACAAATTATCTCCTTAGGATATATATATATATATATATATATATGCCATGGGAAAATTATTTTGAGGTCAGGATTAATATTAACTTTTAAAATAATTTGAGTGGACATCTTCCCAAATGACTGAAGCTTGGCAGCATGTTTACAGGAATGCTGCCCTTCATGAAACAGCAGTTCTTAGATGGATCAAGTGTTTTAAAGAAGGCTGGGAAGGCCTGGAAGATGAATTCAAAGCTGAGAGGTCAGCTCAGAAGGCTATGGCAGCTGGTGGCTTGTTTTTATTTTAAAAATTGCGTTCCAAAGGGGGAAATCTTGATAGATTTCATCAAAGGACGCATGATGATCATGAGGATTTGTTAGGGGAAAAGTTTTAAGAAAATGGAAAAATGCATTGGTAATTAAAAGGCCAGGAAATTTGCCCTGAGGAATTTTCCCCTATCACCACAATGCACCTGCTTATTCAGCAAGGAGAACAGAGGCTGTCCCTGTGAGAATTTTGTTGGGATAGCTTACGCCATCTACCCTACAGCCCTGACCTTATGCTTTCAGACTTCTTTTTGAAAAGTTCTCAGAACTCAAAGAATATTGAAAAGGATTGTGATTTGGGTCTCTTGAGAATGCCCAAACTTGTTTTTATAGGGTATTATTCAAAGAGCACAGGAACTATAAGGCAGGGGTTAGAGAAATGGAAATACTTTTGAATAGACCTAGCTGGAGAATATGTTGAGAAACAATAGCTTCATATTTTTACATTTCTGTTTAGTGCGGATTTCTATGCTTTTGTACCACCACTTGTCAGTTTGTGGGACTGTGGTGGCTTGTGCATTGCCATGATGCTGGAAGCTATGTCACTTGCATTGCAAATGCCAGCAGGGTCATCCAAAGTCGACAGGTTCCAACAGAGCTTTCAGACTAAGAACAGACTACACTGAGGGAACAGACGATCCACTTCAGAGGAATTAGCCCCCGGAAACATTATGGATACAGTGGAACACTATCAAATGCAGAAAAACCTCATGACTAGCAGAACATTCTCAGTGGTAGGACTAGAAACTGAGCCCTCAAGTCAGAAGGCCCTAAAATCTGACTAAGAGCTGCCTTCTCAAAGTAGAGTCAACCACGATGACATGGACGGAGTAAAGGTAGTGGGAGTAGCAGCCGCAAACTACGCATTGCATTGAGTAAATCTGCCGCAGGAGACCTCTTTAAAGTGTTGAAAAGCAAGGATGTTATTTTGAGGACTCAGGTGGTGTGCCTGACCCAAGCCATGGTATTTCAATTGCCTCATATGCATGTGAAAATTGGACAGTGAATAGGGAAGACCAAAGAAGAACTGATGCATTTGAATTGTGGGGCTGGTGAGCATACTGAAAGTACCATGGGCTGCCCAAAGAATAAGCAAATCTGTCTTAAAAGAGGCACAGCCAGAATTGTGCTCAGAAGCAAGGGCGGGGAGACTTTGTCTCATGGGCTTTGGACATGTTATCAGGAGAGACTTGGTCTTGGAAGAGGACATCCTCTTTGGTAGAGGAGAGGGGCAGTGAAAAGGGGGGAAGACTCTCAATAAGATGGATTGAGAGTGGTGGTAAAAATGGGCTCAGACACAAGAACCATTGTCAGGATAGTGCAGGACTGGGTGGATCTTCATTCTGTTGTGCATCGGGATGCTATGGGTTGGAACCGGCCCAGCCGTCTGTTCCAGACGTCTGTAGCAATACTTGTTGACTTACCCTTGTATAGGACCCTATAAATCTGCATGCAGATATAGAACTGGTTTCATTGATATTATCAGAACGTAACACGAAGTTTGCCTCACTACGTTTCTCCGACTTGGATTAGCTTCAGATAATGGCCCCGTCTGTACCAAAATTTCACTTAAGGATAATAAAGTCAACGTGGGTGATTGTTGTGATTGATGCTTTCTATACATAAAAACCTATGGATAAGTATTTATAAGTATTTCAAACCCTAATCTTCAAATCATTAAGGTCCTTTTCTACAGTTTCAATAAGGCGGTGGTGTTAGTTGCAGACAATTTGGACAAGACAATAGTGAAGAATTCATTTACACTGTCTCATACCTTGGGGAAATTTTGAATGGTGCAGAATACTTCCACTTGCAGGGTTGGAAGTCCCAGTCCATCCAGCACGTTCTTCCCCACCACTTTCCATATGGTGGGAGGTTTTGCAAGCTTAGAAAAGCAGTTTGCCTTTAACACACACACACACACAAAATACACAATGCTACATTTAATTTATCCTCAAAAGGTCAATCCCATTTTATTCTCTGTAGTTTCTACCAAGCCTCTCTGAGTGTTATTCCTGGTACCAGGAACAGTATAGTAGCTCTGCAGGGAATGTTCTTCGATGCAGTGAGATTTGGATTCAACTTGACACTGAGTCTCTGGTACACAAGGCAATTTATTTCTCAGCAGAAACTTGCATCATTTTTTTTAAAGGCCTGGAGTGACTCTTTACTAAGACTTCTTATAGTCAAATCAGTTCCCTAACCCATCCTTCTGTCTAAGACATAGAAGTCAATTGGTCCCTAGAATACCACAATGCATTAAAACTTAAGAGACCCGCAGTGCACTGCTTTTTATTTTTCCCAGCAAAGCATTTGGCATTATAATGGTGAAGCATGAGGCAGGAGCTGTATTTCACTTACTGCCAGTTCGTGCATAGTCCTAGGGGTTCCAAGAAGATTGTGGGGGACCTTAGTAATAGCAGTTTCACTGATGTGGAAAAGCAGAAGCCGTTTGGAACTACTCCAAGAAAGAAACTGAAGAAAGAAAATGAATCTGAGATAGAAAGCTCATTCAAAGAGTCTAAATAAAAAAGATTGAAGATGGCGCGTCTATGCTCAGGAGTGGGAGTTCGGAGAAGGGCAACTGAGGACACAGCCTCCTCACCGTCTCTGTTACCAGATAATATTACCAGATATTATTAGTTTCTTATTTTTCATCCAACAGACCAAGTATATGACCTTTGAATTCAAAATCCATTGGCCTTTGCTTAGATAGCAAGTCATCTAAAACCCATCAGCAATGTGCCAGCTCAGAGGTGACCGCCCAGCAGAACTAGGGGGAAGGCAAAATTTCAAGCCATCCATGCCTTTTAAGGATGGCTTATATGTTACAGAGTACCTAACTGAATTCAAACAGCATCAGGAGCAGGAAAAATGTTACTAGACTTCCACTTTGTGTAGCATAGTGAGTTCAGGTTATCAATTCTGGAAGACCCTCTATATGCTAGATCAATGGTTCTCAGCCTGCCTAATGCCATCCCCTTTAATACAGTTCCTCATGTTGTGGTGACCCCAACCATAAAGTTATTTTCATTGCTACTTCATCACTGTTATTTTGCTACTGCTATGAATTGGGCAATCCCTGTGAAAGGGTCGTTTGACCCCCAAAGGAATCACGACCCACAGGTTGAGAACCACTGCACTAGATATTATATTAGGGGGGAGAAGGAACTCACATTTTTTGAGCGCTGAATATGTATCTTAAAAGTGTCTTGTTTATCACTGTAGCACATACCCCAGAGCCTGGTGGAGCCCACAAATTGTGCATAAATTAATGAATGCCAGGCACAGCCCTGAGCACTTTGTATACAACGTTATTAAATTTGCAAAACAACCCTATAAGGTAGGTAGTATCAGCTCTATTCCACAGATAGGCAAACAGATCCAGAGATGTAAACTGTCCAAGTGAACACAGCCAATGTTTTCATTATTGCTATGAAACAGACCATCCCAAAACGTAGTGGCTGAAACTACTCATTTGCTCACAGTTCAGTAATGTGGGCTGGGCTCAACAGGTAATTGTCGGTCTTGCTGGAGTTTTCCAGGCAGATGCAGTCATTTGGAGGTTTGACTGAGGCCAGAATATCCAACATGGCTTCATGCATATATCTAGTCCCCCAGCTGGGATGGCTGAACAGCTAGGGGTGGATGGGTCTGTCTCACATGCAGGAGGTCTCGGATCTGCCAGGGCCTAGTCTACACCATGTCTTCTTCTCCAGCAGAGTGACTGGACTAGCTCCCAGCGTGTTGACTAGACTTCCAATCGAGGCAGAGGTGTTCCAAGAGGCCAAGCCTCAATATGCCAGCACTTATCACGCCTGTGGGAATCATGCTTGCCAGGGTCCGATTGATCAAAGGAAGTCATAGAGCCAAGTCCAGAGTCAATGTGGGAGGGGCTTCAGGAGCCTGTCATACTAGAAGTGCAGTTAACTTGAATAGTCTACCACAGTTGCCAAGTGGCAGAGCCAAGAGTGAAACCCAGCTGTTTGATTCACAATCTCTTCCTACCCTAAGTTTTATGATGAATGAATAAGTAGTTCTGCTATTTCCTACAGGGTTCATCCCCATCCGCAAATTCCTTTAAAAAGTAAAAGCATTACAAGATGTGTAGTATTTGAACAGGCTGAATAGGGGAGAGGTCCAGGGCAAACGTTTCAAGGACCATCAAAGCAGAGGTGGGAAAGGTCAGCCTTTGAGGGGAGTGGTCCAGGATGGAAGAGCGGAAGAGGGGCGGGTGAGAACACCGGTTACCAGAGCATTACGAACCCCACACTGAGCTATTTCGTGTCCGTGGGCACCTGAGATCTGGTGGCGTCGTGGGCAACGAGTTGGACTGCTGCTGGAACTCCAGCCTTCCGTGGGAGAAAAACGGGGCTTCCTACTCCCAGAAAGATTCACAGCTTCCGTCGTGAGTCGGAGGCATCAGAGTGGGAAACCACGGGTTTCCGCGAAGGGTCAGACCTGAGGACTGGGGACACTGTTCAGGCCGCACCGTGAGAGTGGAGTCGAAGGAGGGCTCCGCTGAGTGAGGGCAGTAGGCGGGGCATCCCTACGGTGTCTGTGTCTAAAGACAGCGCGCGCCCCAAGGACGCGAGGCCCTGAACTCTCCCCGTGGCTACGAATCGGCCGCCGAAGCAGCGCAGTTGCCCCCTTCCCCGGGCTGCTTCATTTCCACGCCTGTCCTCCCTCGAACACCCGTGGCCCAGGTCGGCGGCTCCTTCCTCCTCCCGGGCGGTCGCTCCGCAGAAGCGGACCCACAGTGCCCCGCGGCGGCGGCGGCGGCAGTGGCGCGCATGCGCGGCGCTTCCCGAGTTGCCGCAGCGCAGGGCTGGGGGCGGGGAGAGGGGCTGGAGAGGGAGGAGGGTGTCTGCCCCAGGTCCCTACCAGGTGCCCGTAGACGTCGTCAGGCTGGAGGTAGAAGGTGGAGTTGAGCAGCTCTTCCAGCCTCCGCGGAACGTCGTTCTGCCGGTAGTACTCCATCGCCTGCTGCTTCCGCTTCTGCAGCTCCCTAGTGGCCTCACAGCCGCGGCAGCCGCCGTCTTCCCCCATGGTAGGAGATTGGAGGCTACGAAGGGGGTTAGCCCGGGGGCCGCGAGCGTCCTGTCTGTCGCTAGGCAACGCAACGAGATCCCGACCCCAGATCTCGCGAGCATCCGGGCCCCGGGGCTTCCCGCGGCCGAGCCGAGCCCTCTCGGAAGTGGGGAATGAATGGCTCCTGCGCCCTCCGTCCGGCGCTGCCCTGGAGCGTCTGGGCCGGGTCCCCTCGGTTCCGAAGGCCTGCCTCTCCCAGCCTCGGTGTGCATCACTGTCCCCCGATAATCTTCCACTCGGGGCACGGCCTCCTAACTCGTTTCAGTTTCAAGGCGCCTCCACGCCCCTTACCTGTGGGCTCGCAGCTCGACCACCCCCCGAAGGCGTGGCGTCGGCGCCGGCTTCCCCGCCGACCCCCGCGTTCGCGCGGCTCGGGGGCGCCCCGGCTGCAGGCCCGTGCGGCTCGGTACGCTCCACCGCGGGAGCAACGCCAGCTTGATACCCAGGGGTCCCCGCAGTTAGCTGGGGAGGCCCCCAAGTGTGCTAACCCTCCCACCTGAGTCGTGCCAGCTAGACTGAGCGGTCTGCGACTCCGGGGAGACTGTCGGCTCGGTGCTCGCCCTGGGAAGATTTGGGTGGGTAACCAGTGGAAGAAAGACCCACTGTGAGCCCAAAGTATTGGGGGTGAACCTTGAGGGATGGTTAGGGTTTGGGTGGAGCAGGAGTGTCCTTGGGACATGTTCTTTTCAGAGCTGCTTTATAAAACCCCGGCTGCCCGCTCTGCCTGGGTGGTATTTGCCGCTGGAGAACTTTCTTAACGCGCACCCTCGGCTTCTGGGATGGCCCAGAGGACACCACGTTCTGGTTCTCTTCCTGGCTTTCCGGGTCCCTGACCCAAGCGCACCTTCAAAGGTCTATGCTTCACTTGGCCTGTCTGGAAAATGTCCTTGTACCCACTTACCCAGCTTCATTCCGTCCGCGTAGGATGGAATGAGAACGAAGTGAAAGCGCACTTTGGAAGTGGTAGTTAATTTTAGTAGCTACCTGGTGCATGGATGTACAAACAGATAGGTGTAGATGTATATAAATAGGTGGTTCTATAGATACTGTTCTGTGAACCCAGCACGCACACCCCTCTGAACGCCCCCTCTTTATCCGGATCTCTGTGAAGGTGCTTCTTAACTCCCTGTGGTGGTGTAGATGCAGGTGCACCAGCCTCATTCTTTGCAAAAGACGGAAATCCCTAGAGGCCAGGAGTTGGGTCTGAGTCATCGTTGTATTCACTGCAGAGCCCGGGGCCCCACAAGGAGAAGATTACAGTCTCCACTGGACAGGTGTTGCAAGAACCTTTATGCTAAACAAACCCACGCTCTTGTTGTTTCCATTGCACCTGTGCCTTTTCTGGTGGTCCCCTGGGTAGGAGGACTCCCTTCCCTGTCCATTATGTAATGCTTCAGGCCAACCCCACATCCTCCAGGAAGATGTGTTCCCCATCACCCTGCCACCCCTTCTTTCCCACTTGCAGCCTGGGTTATAGCACTCAGCGGTCTTGACTCACTTAACATTGGAATGGAAGAATGGAAGTATCTTGGTTTGGATCCACTATGTCTTGGATGTCTCCCCTGTATAATCCATTGACTCCCAAACTTCAGGAGGACAGGGACTCAGTCTACCTTGTTCACCACTGCCCTCAGCATTAGTGTATACAAGGAGGCTTCAAGAAGTTCATGGAAAAATAAAGTTAAAATGGAATTTTTGTTTCACCATAAACATTAAAAATAACTTGTGAATTAAGTGAAGGCTTACAGATGAGATAATAATTTTCACATACAGTGACATCAAACTTCCCAATGAGTCTTGTTTTCTTCTTCCTATTTTGGTCTGTCTCCCTCATTGTATAATGTCTTCCCCTCCCCCAAGATAACACCTGTCTGTGCTCTATCCTATTACTCCCCTCCTTTGCTCTCTCACCCTGGGAATCATCAAACTCTGCTTCTTTCAGTGTGAAGGCCTTTTCTGTTTGTTTTGTTTTTTTTAATCGTTGTATTGGGGGCTCATACAACTCATCACAATCCATATATCCATCCATTGTGCCAAGCACATCTGTACATGTGTTGCCATCATCATTCTCAAAACATTTTCTTTCTACTTGAGCCCTTGGTATCAGCTTCTCATTTCCCCCCTACTTATGAACCCATGATAGTTTATAAATTATTATTATTTTTTCATGTCTTACACTGACGTCTCCCTTCACCCACTTGTCTGTTGTCTATCCCCCTGGGAGGGGGTTATAGGTAGATCATTTTGATCAGTTCTCCCTCTTTCCCCCAACCTTCTCCTTCCCCTCCTGGTATGACTACTCTCAATATTGGTCCTGGATTCCCTGTATTTCCAGCTCTTATCTGTACCCTTGTACATTCTCTGGTCTAGCCAGATTTGTAAGGTAGAATTGGGGTCATGATAGTGGGGGGCATGAAGCATTAAAGAACTAGAGGAAAGTTGTATGTGTCATCAGTGCTATACTGTACCCTGACTGGCTTGTCTTCTCCCCATGATCCTTCTGTAAAGGGATGTCCAGTTGCCTCCAGATGGGCTTTGGGTCCCCACTCCGCACTCCCCCTCATTC